CAAAGCCTCCCTTTGAATATTTCCCTTCACTGCAAACAGACTTTCACAGGACTAACCACCATTACCTTTGACCAGGGCAGGCATGCAGCTCACATGCCCCAATCCAACCATGTCTGTTGTTAAAATATTGAAACACTTTCTTTTTTTTTTTTAAAGAGATGGAGTCTTACTCTGTCACCCAGGCTGGAGTGCAATGGCGTGATATTGGCTCACTGCAACCTCTGCCTCCTGGGTAGCTGGGATCACAGGTGCCTACTGCCACTACTGGCTAATTTTTGTTTTTTTTAGTAGAAATGGGGTTTCGCCATGTTGGCCAGGCTGGTCTCAAACTCCTGACCTCAGGTGATCCACCTGCCTCGGCCACCCAAAGTCCTGGAATTACAGGTGTGAGCCACCACACCCAGCCAGAATATTGAAACATTGCTAACTAGTCACTTTCCTACCCACACCAGGCACCCTCACCATGACCCATCAACTAAAGAAATAATAATTCCAGCCCCGCAGAGAAGCCGCCAGGACCCTGCTGCAGCACAAAGGCTGAGGCCTTCTGATGTTTACCATCACACCTGCTTTAGTTCCTTACCAACGTAAGATATCTAACTGCAAAGCAATGGATCTAAGTTATCTACTTTTAAGGTAAAGCAGAATTGAATATCCAAATAGAATAAATAGTATTTTTATGAATTTGCCATCTTATTCTTGAGGCTTGGTTTCAAATGACTTCTGGCTTATGGCAAAATCAAATCCACTCTCAAAAAATATGAGATTGCCATCTGTAAGAGTTTACAAAAGAATATGATGCCATTCCCAGCAAACCTCTTAGTTACCAGTGCCCAAAAACTACTTCAAGCAATGATGGCATCATGGGAATACGTGTGTAGCCTCATAAAGTGAAGAGTTTTCCCCACACATGTAATGACTTAGATAAATTTTAATACTGCGGGATATCAGATAAAATTAAGAAATTATTATTAATTTTAGGTGTGATGATACTGTTTTTTAGAGATACATACTCAAATATTTGCAAATCAAACCTATAATGAAAGGGATTTGTTCCAAAACAATCTGTAGAGAAGGGGCCAGGGGAGGGAATGTGAGGGAGCTGGTGATGAGTACATGGGATTCATGATCCTATTCACTCCACTTCTGTATATGTTCTTCACAATAAAACGTTAAGCCAAATCGTTTTCCATCCCTGGTAGATGGGAGATGTAAGAGAAATAGAATCGCCCTGGATTAGGGCATGGGGAGACCTGGGAGGATGCACTGTCTGCCTGCTCGCTGTGTGACTGTGGACTACCTTTATGTTTTCTGTGCCCACTGTCTTGTCATCCTGTCTATGAAGTGTGCAATGCACATAATCACACACACACACACACACACACACACACACCTTCCAGACAGATTAAAGGGAGTCTGAACAAAACAAGATACTGTTTGTGTAGCATTTTGAGCTCCTTGGGAGAAAGATACAACATCAGTGATGTATCATTATCCTAACCCAGCACACAGAGGTGTTTTGTGAAGTTTAGTTTAGATGATTCAGGATTCCCAGAAACCCCACAGATTTTTCAGAAACTACCTCATCCTTCATTCTCTCAGCCAACTGAGAAAAAAGGATCAGAAACAAAACACCCTGCTTCTTGCTTCCACACAGGAGGCGTGGGGCAGCTCTGTTTACTTCTCCGACACAAAGCCCTTGTTTATGCGCGACAGATGGTAGTACGTTTCTCTTCTCTTCTCTCTCCCTCCCTCCCTCTCTTCATCTGTTCCCCTCTGTTTCTTTGTCCCCCTCCATTTTCCGTTTTCTCCAATCCTTCTCAGCCTCACACCACTTTTCCTGAATTGACTCAAGGGCCAGCAGGAAATATACACACGCAGATTGCCAAGTCGTAAAGGAATGGCTTTGTGTCTACTATGTATTCTATCCAGCTGCTCGCACACGGTCACCTCTTGTTTCACAGTACTCATATTTGAAATGCGTTTTTGAAGACAGAGTGACACACCTTTGAAACTGCAGGGGGCTCAGGGCAAACATGAAAAGACCCATAAATATGTATGTGGCAAATTTCCCTGGGTTTCCTTCACAAAGTAAAAAGTAACAACAGTCAATGCGTGTGAGTGTGCACATGCGTGCACGCACGCACACACACACACACACACACACATACACACACGTGTTCCTTCCAGGCCTGGCCACTGTCAAAGAATAAATGTAAACCTAACCTCTTACCACATATTTACTACAGTAAGCATCATCTACAAACCAGCCTGGGGGAGGGGAAGGGAGCTGTTCAGGACCAGACATGCAAGAGACTTCTCTCCTTTCATATAAAAAGCTGGTTCCTCTCCTCAGATCCAGTAAGTCACTTATTCTTTCCCAGCTTCTGTTTCTTCTTCTGAAAATGAAGGTTTTAGAATGTATAGGTGATGTATAGAGTCTTTTTCAGCTCTAAATTTCTATGATTCAAAGTTTTTAGAGAATTCCCATAATATGAATCTACCTGACACCCAAATACCTGTGGGTGCAGGGACAGATCTGTTGGAATCAACAAACCAATGATGAGTGTGTAAAACCAGTGACTGAGCAATGACCTGTGTAGTGGCAGAGGAGAGAAGGTCAGAGCAAAGGGAAAAGAAAAAGATGGTATTCAGTTCAGTTGGGAAATGACTCATCTATAAGTCAAGTCAGAGAAGGGCATCAGAAAGGAAAGAACTGCCATAATAGATACCAAGCAAGAGTAGGAGGCAATATTTGGCATCTGCCTGTATGTCTAGAAGAAAAGATGGCAAAAAAGCGAGTTGTGCAACAGGAGGTGTGCACAGGTCCTGCTTGGCTCAGGTCCTGCTTGGTCACCTGAAATGCATTCTCAGACCCCAAACATGCTTCAGACAGAGACATTCTCCAAGAACGAGCACACTGGCACTCTTAGAAGAGTCCTTAATGTGATGCCCTGTTCTACACAGGGATAATAACGATCCCCCATGGCCACCCCGCACCTGCAGACAAGAAAGAGTAAATACTCATGGTTTAAAAAGATGAAATGACTGTTTGAGAACTAATAGCTACATCTGCAAATAATTAGCTCCAGGATTGATTACCAATTAGGACTATAAATCTCTGCTTACTTTGGCTCCTGAAAAGTTGATTTCACTGGGGAGTGTGTGAGGGGGTGGGGACAAAGTCATTTGAGACAAGGAGGAAGAAATCCAAGCTTAAAAAGACACACTTCAAATTCAAAAGAGAGCAAGATTTCCCAAGCACCACAGCAGCAAAGCAGGCTTGATTTGTGGTTCTAAGCAAACCAGCCCAGCAGATGCCTGCAGGGTTAATAAGTCAAAGAGACTGAGGCTACTCAGAGGAGGATGTTAGGGATGGGGAAGGAGGTTGCATACTCTGTGGACCCCAGTGGCTAAGCCATCGTATGGCCTGAGTGGGCAGTGGAACACAGGCATCAGCCACAGCGCATTCTCTCAGGGATACGCTGACCATTGGAATCGCCTGTAGAGCTTTAAAAACATAGCTATGCTTGGGTTATACTGAAGACTAATTACACTGGAATCTCCAGAATGGGGCTTGGGTATCAGAGTGGTTCAAAAAATGCCCCAGGTGACTTTCAAGTACAGCCAGCCAGGGTTGAGAACCACCAGTTGCCTCGTTTCATCCTCAAGCACTCCCATGTTAAGAGGGTTGCTATAGCTCTTGTGGTTTTACAGAGACTGCTAAGGAACAGAGAGGCTAAGTAATGGGGACCAGGGTTACACAGCTAATACTGATGAAGGAAGGATTTGAACCCAGAGCCCAAACTCTTACTTATCATGTTCTATGGACTCCAAGGTTATGATTCTTAGACTTCCAGGCTCTGAGCCTTCACAGTCTACTCAAGATAGAAAATAGGACTCAGGCCAGGCGTGGTAGCTCATGCCTGTAATCCCAGCACATTGGGAGGCGGAAGAGGGCAGATCACTTGAGTCCAAGAGCTTGAGACCAGCCTGGGGAACATGGTGAAACCTCATCTCTACAAAAATAAACAGAGTGAGAGCCTGTCTCAAAAAAAAGAAAGAAAGAAAGAAAGAAAATAGGGACTCATAAATGACTTTTATGTATTTTTTTATCACAAAAATGAAACATTAGCTCATATTAATGCTACATATTAGCGAGGGAGGCAAGTTTCTTTCCTTTGGTTGGAATGACATCAACACAGAGGTTGCACTGGACATTTCCTGCTCATCAGCAGTTCTCAGTTATTCAGTCCACAAACATTAAGTACCAATTTTCTGCAGAGTCTATAAAATAGAAATGACCCTGTGCAGATACTCACACAACAGATGTTCTAAGGGCCATAATGGTGGCATGCACTAGACACCCTGAAAGCACACAGAAGAAAGCAGGCAGCTTGGAGTGGTCGTGATATATTACGCCTTTGGTGAGTGTAAAATGGCAAAGTAAATCACAGGATAATATACACATGCTGCTAAGAAGTGAAACAAGAGATGGAGTCCCTAAGTGGAGGCAGGGAATAATAAAGTCTTATGAGAAGGTTGAAAACATACTGTTGCTGATCCATAAATATTTAACCCAGGGTAGAAAATGCAAATTCCTAGCTGACAGCTACATGAGTGTAATGAGCTGGATGTCAGCAGGGGAGGTGGGGACTGAGGTGACCTAGAGCGCCTGTATCCTGTCTAAAGAGGAAGCTAGTTCTCACCACCAGCCAAAAATCACCATGTAGAAATGTGGATGCAGTGTTAGATCTTTTGACTTTTTAGGAAAATCTGTAAATATGGGTTACTTAACGCAGGATCTCTCAATTTTTAAATGGCATCTAATTCAAGTCTTTTCAAAACACCACGTAAACCAAAGAAAATACATTACCCACCCCCCCTCCCCGCCGCCAACCACCGAGCTTTGATTTCATCATTGAAGGTGATCTCTCTGGTAGTTCCAGGATCCCAAAGCAACTGCTTATTCACCTGTACCCTTACCCCTCGCCCCACAGGTCTGCTCATTTATTTTGGATATGGCATCTGGAACAGCACCCTGGAAATCAGCGCCCGAGAAGAGGCCCTGCACCAAAGCACTTACCAGCGCTACGACGTGGATGACCCCTTCTCAGTGGAGGAGGGTTTCTCCTACGCCACAGAGGGCGAGAGCCAGGAGGACTGGGGCGGGCCCACCGAAGATAAAGGCTTCTATTACCAACAGATGTCAGATGCGAAGGCAAACGGCCGGACAAGAAGCAAAGCGAAGAGCAAAAGCAAACACAAACAGAACTCAGAAGTCCTGATTGCAAATGATGAGTTAGATTACTCTCCAGAGTAAGAGAAACACTCAAGTGGGTAGAAATGGTGATGATTGATTTTCAGTAACTTAACCTGTGGGCTAGAAGGTGAAAACTTTTTTGGCTCTCATTTCACAAATCCAGCCTTCCCCAAATTCAATCCCTAGTCATAGCCTGTCATTTGCTACTTTTGCTCTTCAGGATAGTTCTGTTGAAGGGCTTAACCTGGGTCCCCTAACTGGACGCTTGTTAAAAAAAAAAAAAATGCTAAACAAGAGGTTACATGAAATTTTATCTTAGGTGCAACCATCAGCGCTGATGGTAGCAAATGTTTCCTAGGCCTTTGCTTTGCTGGTTGAATCTTTTTGCTTCTTATTGAGATCCCAAGAAGCAAGGAGCAAACTTCTTGGACCCCACTGAGGCTGCAGCTCCTCCTGGAGATATGCCCAAGCAGAGGCTGTGGGCATAAGGCAGAATTTCAATCACCTGAGACAGGAGGACAAAGCTCTGTTCTTGGCATGTCAGCCTGCACGCTGCTCCCTGAGGTCAGGGTGCGTAGGTGGACATTGGCACTTCCTGAGCAAGCAACATTTTATCCTGCAATCTCACCCAAAATTAATTCATGGAGAAGACGTATGCTTTTTTTTTTATTATTATTCACCAACATTCTCACAGCTTCCAAACTATAATTTTAGGATCCAGCAAAGGTCAGGGACTCTGAGACCATTTTCCCAAAGGTTTCAGATTCACCATAAAGCAGTCATGCAGACCCAATAATATGGTAAGAAGCACCATCAAAGCTCTACTTAAATGCTCAGAAGAAAATTAAATAACCATCTCTTGCAGGGAAGGCCAGAGGGCATTGGCAGAAATTAACTCTCTGTCATGGCTTCTCTGATACCAGATTCCAGCTCCTGGTGATATGATGACAGAGGGCAAAGATGGAGCATGATTTCATGGTACTAATATGCCTTGAAGAAGTAGGTTGTTTGTTTTATAATCAGATAAAAATCTTTACAAGGAGAAGTGACCCAGCCACTGAGATCACATTGCAAATTCTGTTTCATATTTCTTAAATTATAAATTCTGTAGTTTTTTGAGATATGCAATCATTTGATTGGTGAGTGCTACTCTGGAAACAAAACATGTTGAAGTACAGCTGCCTAGGTAGTTGCATTCCATGAGATCACATTTCACTTCTGAACCTTATTCCCTGGGGGTAGCTCACTTTCAAAGGTGTATTTTTTTTCCTGTTATTTCCCAGATTCGTTTCACTTAAACCCAGAGAAATACCTACCTGGTAAAATGTAAATTTTGATCATAAAAGGGGTTATTAAAAGAATTTTCTCAGAAACAGAATAGATGAGAGAATTTGCAAAGAAAAAAAACCACATGGGCTATAATATAAATTCTACTCTTGGATTACAAGGATTCCATGGCTGCACTGAGATGTGTACAAATGTATGTGAAGGCACAATTCAAATGAAGCTATTCTAAAATTAACCAAGCTATATTAAAATTAATCAAGCTATTAATAAAATCTTCATGAGAATTTCCTGGAAGAGGGACAAAAGAAGAAATTCCTTGCCCTTTCTCTCCTGGATGTATCAGTATGCCAAAAGTTTTCCAGAACATAATTCGCTAACATTCAAGTCTATTCTTTCTTAAAGGCTGAGGCTTATGCCATCTTGGCATGCTTTAGGATTATGGCAAGGACATAAAAGTCCATTTTTTCATTCAACTAACGCTGGTTGAGAGTATACCAAATGCTAAGTGACAGGAATGAATGGAAGCATGACATCTGCCCTTGGGGACTACAGTCCATGGATGAACAGCACTGGAGCCTGGTAAATGCAGATAAAATGACAAATTTGACAAGTCTCCAGACTGATGCACCGGGTTTTAACATACATATAAAGATCAATTGAAACTAGTTTTTTAAAAATATGCTTTAAATAAATTACATATCATCATCATAGCCAATATATACCATTCAACTAAAATAACTGCAATTTTCTAGACATTTTTTATTCTTCTGTAGTAATTGTTTAGAACTCTGGTTTCCTGAGGTCATTTTGTCATTTTAATGTCATGCTTGACAATGTTGTGTTTTCTCTTCCCTAGAGTTAACCATAAAGACACAGTGCCTAGTTGTGAAATACATCATTGGGAATTAATTATAAACTAATTATCGGTCATCTTTTGAAAACAAAGTTTTGAACTGGCTATAGGACTCAACAAATCTGCTTGGGTTAAATACAATCTGTTAAGCTTGATACACAGATAGATGAGGTCTCTATTCTCATCAAATATGAGAATTGAGAAATAGGAGTGCAAAATAGCAAGATCTTAGCATAGGTGAAAGAGCTTCCTTTTAGTAGTGAGGTTTAAGTTATTAAAGTAACAGTAACCTGGTGGCAGATGTATGCAGTTTCTATAGAATGGGAATGGAAAACACATGCTTTGGTTAACACCATTGGTATTGATCTTGTGCAGATTCTATGAACCACTCTCATTTCAGGAGCCAGTTTTCCCAAATGGTATATATGTATATTTTAAGCTTAGCTCTCTTTATTTTTCTCAAGTTGATAGGTCACCTCCCTGACAACCTTAGTTTAAAAAAAAAAAAAAAAAAACACTATAATAGAAAAGGTTCCTTCAGGCACATAGACATGTGTGTCCACAGGTTTACCAGCTTCTGTGAAACAGCCCCAGATTTCACAATGCAGTTTTCAAATACCATCAATCACTAGAATAACAATATTACTATTTTCCTAACAGGTTTCTTAACGATGTATTTGTGGGACTACATTAAAAGTAAGATCACCTTGTAATTATCTTAGAAACCTCGTTCCTTGAATGGGATCCAAGGAAGACCTACATTTTATTGAATTCTGTATAGAAAAAAGCTGTCTGAGTCAGATTTCAATGGGTGGATTTGTGGTTTGGAGCCAATTGCTTGATTTTTTCAGATTTTATTCTACTTATTTATTGGTACTCTGCTTCATTTCAAAAGGATTTGAGGCAGCTATTATAATATATATATTACAAAACAAAAACTAAGTGAGGAACTCAGGGCAAATAAAAACAGAAACAGAAATGATAACACAAAACTGGATGTGTATTTAGTGCATAAATGCAGAACTCTGATATACTTTACTAAATTTGCCAATGAGGGGCACCATGAAAAATAATCGAATTTATGGTAATGACAAGAAGAGGTACTTCTGCATGATAAGAACAAATTTTTCCCCATGCAGGCAGAGGCTTGAAATAGCATAGATCATTAAAATCCACAGATAATCTTCAAACCCAGATTTTGCTAGCTACATGTGTCTGACAGATAGTGGGTATTCAAGAAATATCTGATGATTAAAAGAATGAATGAATTGGAGGAAAATGAAATATTTATTCAACAATTATTTGTGGAGTGCCTATTATGTACTGTGGCAGATATTGATCCCATAATAAGTCAGATAAAAAATCCAGCTCTTAAGAAATAGGGGAAATAGAGCTAGGTCTGGTGGCATGTGCCTGTGATCCCAGATACTTGACAGACTGAGGCAAGAGGATCACTTGAGCCCAGGAGTTCAAGGCTGCAGTGAGCTATGATCATGCCACTGTACTCCAGCCTGGGTAACAGAAAAATACCCTGTCTCTTAAAAGGAAAAATAAAATAGGGAAAATGGGATATATAAATAAAGAACAATAGTGACAGTGTCAGGTGAAATGAGGGAGTGGTAATGTGCAGTGAGGGTTCAAATACGAAGAAGTCCTTCTTCTGGAAAGGCCATAAAGAATGTCACACTTGTGTTAGGACTTGTGAAATGCGCAGAATTTTACCAAGTAGCAATGAGAGAAAGACATGCCAAGCAAAAGATCAGCGTGAGTAGACCTCTACTAGCTTGCTGTCCTCTAAGAATTTGTGCTATGCCTCCATCAAGGGAAAGCAAGGAGCTAGTTTGCCTGAGTACATGATTTATGAATGACTTACACATGCAATCATAAGAAATAATGCTGGGAAAGCAGGTGAGGGCTCACACACAGAGAGACTTGAATGTCACACTGAGCTGGCTGGCTCTCCTCGGGTGGGAAATAATTGGGGAACTGATGAAGGTGTGAATCCGGAAGGCTGAACTTTAAGAAAGCTGAGACATGGTTTCCTCGCCTATGCAAGGAGCTAAGAAACTACGTTTACACTCCAAGTTGATTTAACAAATCAAAGAGAAAATTATCTGTACTTTGAGTCCTGTGTCTGCATTCATCATTAACCTATGAGAAATAGAGTTGTTTAATATGTGGACAGGCAACACAATTTACAGCCACTTTAAAGTTTTTAACAGCAGATTTCAACAACCAAACCTAACAACGTTTCATATCTATTTAATATAAACAGTAAAACCTCAGCTCCAGGCTTTACTGAGCTTGAGGGCAAGGCTGCTTCTTTTTTTTTTTTTTTTNCAAGCTGGAGTGCAGTGGCACAATCTTGGGTCACTGCAACCTCCACTTCCCAGGTTCAAGAGATTCTCCTGCCTCAGCCTCTCGAGTAGCTGGGATTACAGGCGTGTGCCAGTTCTACTTATTGGTAACAAACTAGTAGTTAATCAAATGCCTACATAATGGTCATGATAAGCCTGTTTAAATAAGTGGTGGGTGGAAGGGAGTTGTTTAACAATCTATCCTTCTTCAGAATCTATAGATCAGCCAGAATATAAAACTAGTAATTATTGGAAGACAAAGCAGAAATTCCTTCAAAGAAATCTCTCTCCTCTGTTCTGCTGAAAAGGGCTGGTAAACCTGACATTCTTTCTTTTGTCAGAAGGCAAATCCAACATTTGTTGAAAGTCTGCCTTACAAGGAACCACTGCTTATCTGCAACATAAACAGGCTGTACCAGTTTGAAAATCCACATAGAAAACTGGAGAAAATTGCTGTTCCCTTTCTCACTAGGTTTTACCAGGGGCCCAAGATATCAGAGGAAAGTCCACAGAGGGCCAGCCACAGGTTTACCTAATTATGAATCTCAGATTAGAACGTCTTATTGTGTGGAAAAGTCAGAAATCACGAAATGTGTCTGAGGCCAGAGCGGGGGTCCGCTTATGGAGTCTACACAGCAGGTAGGGTTCACTCTTGGGGTTTAAGCCTCAGGTCAGTGAGCAATACAGAGGTGGCCCTAACTTCCTATGGGGGAAAGGGAGGAGAGCAAAGGAAACACACTCCAGAGGTCGCCATGAGGGCTGTACGGCAGTGCTCCATTTTCATGCCATTTGGAACGAGACTTGTCAAGGAAGATGTTTCTATCCAAAGTTTTCACAGAGCCTTTGTTTCCCCCGTACCTGTGTAGCTGAGGACCCATTTGTCTGCAAAGACCTTTGGAGATCCTGAAAGAGAGGCACCAGCAAGTAACCAATGGTGACCTGGCCATAAAAAAGTATTTGAAATTAAACAGTGAGCAAGTGCAGAAACAGCATCCCAAACCTCAGGCCCCACCACAAGCAGTTTCACCATGGAGTTTACTTTGTATTTCTCACTGGGAATGGGGATGGGTTGCAAAAAGCCCATTTCGTGTACATAATTGCTGGTCCTATGTCCTACTTTTATTTTCTCTAAGACTTTTAGAAGAAAGACTGTTTGAATTTTTTATTTTTTTCTCCTTAGGAGCAACTTCCTTTTTGAAATGCTTTCCTCTTCTTGCTCTGCTCAAGTAATGCACGCATCATTCTGAAACACCTAGACAGTCGCCTTTTGCCAAAATTACTTCTCTAAGAAAATAGAGTGTTCTTCTTTGGGGGACTTAGATCCCACAAGGGATGATGGAAGTTTTGTAGCCCAACAAAGGTGAATATGTGTTCTGCAGCATCAACTAAAACAGTGTAGAAAATCATTAAACTGTGTTCTACACCCAGGGAATTACAAAATCCCTACAGAACTTTCACAGACAGCTTTGGGCTTAAGGTCTTCTGACAGCAAGTAGTTCTAACTTCTTACTCTTTGGGACATTTAGTAGCTGTTGATACACATAAAGAAAGACAATGGCTTATTAGAACTAGGAAATGGGGCAGCCTGGATTTTTATGGTAGGGACTCACTCTGTGCTTTTTTAATTTTTTTTTTTTCTATTAAGTTTTCTTGACACTGACATCGGTAATGGTAACATTGGCTCAAGGGAATTGTGAGTCATGTGAATTTCGCCTGCAGTGCAGACTTTGAAGGACTGTGTTCATTCTGACTTGGGGATAAAGAGAATATTCCATGCACATCTATTGATTGGTCTTGGCAGTTGCTGATACACTTGTCTCATGCACACTCCCAAAGGTGAGGATTTACACTGGAAATCATAAACCCCCACTTTCCAAAGCAAAGATACTGTTAATGTTACGATGGTGCATAAATACCTCAACTGTCTGGGCTGAGAGAAGGGGCTGCAGGTTTTTAAGAGAGCAGCTATAGTCCTCATTCCATGTAGTCACACCATCTGATGCCAGGACTCTACATTCCAGCTTTTCTCACTGTGGAAAAGAAACGATACTGTTTAATTCATATCCAAAGTTATAAATACAGCTTGTAAATTTTACTCGTTTCTTTTTTGTTTGGTCCTTGAGAAGTACAACTTGCATTTGCAGATGGTAATTTCTAGTGTTGTTCTCTGCTATTTTTTTTTTTTTGGTATGAAATTGCTGTATTTGTTAAAGTTTGTTCGTTTTGTGGTTTTTAATTCCCATCGATGCGCTGTACAATGTAGTGTATCATGAAGAAAGAAATAATATGCAGATGTATTATGAAATGTGTTTTATTTTCAAATGTGTGGTGTTGACAATATATTGATTTATCAAGATACTAAGGGAAAACTCTAAGTTTAACAAAATGTGTATATTTTAATAAATGCATAAAGCTTTATTGTGTGCCTTTAAATTTAAAAATGGGTTTATAAAGAAAGTCAGAAACAAAAGTGTCTTACTATAAAATATCCATAATGATGTAAAGATTTTACACAAGAGACTACCAAAAAAAAGAAAGAAAGAAAAGAAAAAGGAGCCTTCCCATATTTTGTTAACCTTAACCAATACCTAAAGTCTGTTACTTTTTTTCCATTCTTAAATGGAGATGAATAAGTGAATTTTGCCTTAAGTGTTTCAATTGTCCTTTGTAGAAAAGCCAGATAAATGAGCTCATTTTGAATTGCGTTATTGTGGAAAATTCATTTTCAGAATAAAAAATTTTTAAAATCACAGCTAATCGACTAATAAAATTTAAATTTGAAGAAAGTCAGTGCCATCCTACCTCTTTAAATTTACTATTTCCATGAGGAGAACACAAAAGTTCCACTTTAGTGGGCTCTCAGGAGAACCTGAAGTGGCGCTGTCTCCTTCTCACCGTGTTCTCCCAACAACGGTACAGGGCTCTGTCTGGGGCCCTCCTTACTATACTTCCTCATTAATTACCCCACTCCTGGCCGGGTATGGTGGCTCACTGCTGTAATCCCAGCACCCTGGGAGGCCAGGGCAGGCAGATCACAAGGTCAGGAGTTCGAGACCAGCCTGACCAA